GAGACGTCGGCTTGCGAAACACCATCCTCCGCGATCAGGGATCGGAGCTTAACCTCGCTCAAAAGCGGCGACAAAGTCCGGGGAGAACGGCGGGCAGCGGCGGGGGGCGTGCGACAGAGGCGGCCGCGGAGATGTGGACGGCGGAGCAGAGGGCGGAGACGGCGGCAACGGAGAGGACGGAGAGAGAATGAACATCTCGCTGCCGTAGGACACATGGGCGAGAGAGGGGATGTCCACTCCCGCGGAGGGTGTGCATCTTACTTTGACAGTGGCTGTGCGGGGGTGAGAGGGCGGAAGCAGCTCACTGCCCCGGGCCGATGCGAGGAATCTCAAACTCGCCAGCGAGGGCCCTCTTCACCGAGGTCTTCACCGAGGTCTTCACCGAGGTCTTCAACTAGGGTTAGGGTTAGGGTTAGGGTTAGGGTTAGGGTTAGGGTTAGGGTTAGGGTAAGGTTAGGGTTAGGGTTAGGGTAAGGTTAGGGTTAGGGTTAGGGTTAGGGTTAGAGCTTCACCGAGGTCTTCACCTTGTTCCGGCCGTCGAACGAGGCGCCTACGTGCGTGACACATGCCCCACAGAGGGACGCGTCGTGGACGTGTCCGGTGAGAGACGGCCCAGCCTCGCCGCGCCGAGGCGGGTGCCTTGGGCTCGACCTTGCACGTGGGTCGCGCCACGCTTTTCCTTGCACAGCACCCCGGCGGCCAAGCACAAGAGGGCGACGCCGGCGGCGGCAGCGCCGCCCACGACGCCCCAGAAGCCCTGCTTGAGCAGCGGCGGGGAGGGCGGCGGCGCCGACGGCGGGGGCGGGAACGGCGACGCGGAGGGCGGCGGCGGCGAGGGCGAGGCGGAGGGAGGCGGTGGATTGGGCGGCGGCGACGGTGGCGGCGGCGACGGCGAGGCCGACGGCGGCGGCGGGGAGGGCGGCCGCGGCGGCGCCGTCGGCGGGGGCGGGGGCGTCTGGGGCATGTCCGAGGGAATCTTAGGAGGGAAGAGTGGGGGCGTCGGAGGGATCGGCGGAGGCGGGATGGGCGGCGGCGAGGGCGAGGCCGACGGCGGCGGCGGGGACGGCGGCGCGGCCCGGGGCGGTGGCCGCGTCGGCGGGGTGTCGAGGAAAGAGTTGCGCTTGGGGTCGTGGTGGTAGGACTCCTCGACACGATTTACAGGCCGCCACTCCAAGGTTGGTCCGGACCTCGAGCACAAGTAGATGTGGGCCATGTCGCAGTCGGTGTTCTCCATGTCGCAGTCGGCGCGGCAGCAGTCGCCCTCCTCGAAGCACGACATGTCGCCCTCCTCGAGATTGAACATCGCCGGCGGCGACGGCGGCATCGCCGGCGGTGGCGGCGGCATCGGCGGCATCGCCGGCGGTGGCGGGGCCTCCCAGCACACCTGCAGTGCGCGGCTGGAGGGTGGGCGATGGGGAGGGCAAGGCGCAGGGGGAGCGAGAGGTAAGTCGTCGCCGCGCCTTCCAGCCGGTTGGCCCGCGCCCATGGCCCCCATCAGACACCCACGTGGCAACCCCATCCAACGGCTCGACCCCGGCCGGGCCGGAGGTGCCGCAGTGTTTCACGCCGTTGACGACGAGGAAGGCGCGGTCGCAGACATTGGCGGGGTCGTAGGTGTACCTGTAGCCGCCCTCCTCCACCTCAAAGGCGATCACGTCCAGCCTGCTGTGCGGCAAACCGGTGATATTGCAGCCCTCGTCGATCGGGTATTGGTTCGGGTACCCGGGTGAGGTCGCACATCGCCCGCTGTCCGTGAGCAAGCATTTGCCGTCTATCTTGACAGACGGCGGCGGCGGCGGCGGCGGCGGCGGCGGCAGCGGCGGCGGCGGCGAAGGCGGCGGCGCGAGGAAGAATGGCTGCCTGGACGGACAGGGGGCGTGGCGACGTCCGTGACAGCCCTGGGTGGACAGTCCTCGAGGGGACATGGATTCCCAGGAGCAAGCAGATCCCTCGCGCCTCGGCGGCACCGGCGCAACGTTGCGCCGTCGTAGACGCTGTGCGAACTCGTTTCTTATTTTCGCGCGTTTAAACGAAGCCTAAACGACACGCCAAACGAACAAACCTCGTCGCCACCGCCACCGCCGCCTCCACCGCCCCCCTCGCCGCCCCCTCCTCCTCACGCGCCGCCGCCGCCAGCGCCGCCTCCCCCACCGCCACCCCCCGGCGGCGACGCGTTCCCGGCCAACCTCTTCGCCCCGACTTACTTCGGCGTCGTCCCCCCGGCGCCAACACAAGTCTCTGGCTCGCTCGTCCGCCCTCGCTCACCACTGGCGGACGCTGCTGCCGAGGGCGGCGCCTCCCCGCCCAGCGGCAAGGCGCGGACGACCAGCGGAAGTGCGGGCGGTCCCAAGGGCTCATCCAAGGTGCTGAAGACACACCACGACGACGGGCGGCCGGACCCCATGTCCTACGCCGACGCCACCGCTGGCAAGAAGCGAGACGCTAGCAAGAAGCGCGCCGCATCGACTGCCCTCGACAAGGCGGCGGAGGAAGAAGCCCTCGCTAAAAAGCACAACGCATCGTCCGCCCTCGACGAGGCGATGACCGACGACGAAGCCCTCGCCGCCGGACAACGCCTCGCCGTCGCCGAGCGCGAAGTACTAGAGCTCAGCGCCGCAGACTCG